CCAGTGCTCTCCCCCACTTCCTCACCTGCTTTCTGCTCTCTGTTTTAGGTTACTGCTGCTCAATCAATTCCATGATGTTATACCAGGCAGCTGTATCCAGCTCGTGGTTGAGGATGCCCTGAAATACTACACAGGTGCCCAGGGAGTTTGGCTAGGGGGGCATTTCCCTGCTGGAGCACACTGGGTCCTGCCTGGGGGTGCTGCAGAGGTTTCAATCCTGGACTGCCAGGTGCTGTGTGTCCAGCCTGTGCAGACATGTGTCTGAAATGGTGTTAAGTTAGCAGGGGAGTCAAGGGATTAAAGAAACCCTCATTTATTGGCTTCTCTGCTTGCTGGTGGCATGCCAGGATAGACCCCAGCAAAGGTTTGCTCCTGCCTGCCCATGGGTGTTTTGTTATAGCACCGCAATTTTCCAGTGGAGCTGGCAGAGTTCCCTGTAATCTTGTAATAATAAAGTTAAGAATGATTATACACTTGAATTACTTGCTAATAGATAATAATAATTAATGGCAATTAGTAATTGTAGCTTGGAAGGAGCTAAAGTGTGTGTACATGGTGTGTGTACATTGCTTGGGACTGCCAGAAGCTGTCTCAGATCCAACTCAGACCCTTCTGTTGCCCAGAGATCCGCAGGGCTGGAGCTCAGCTGCAGGAGGAAGCTGTGCACTCCCTGTGCAGGGATCTGCTGCAGCCCAAGGCAGGGAGCACTGAGGGCACCCTCGTGTTGAACACTTTGCCCTGGGAACGCACCGAGGTGATCTCCAGGCCTGGGCCAGACGGAACGGAGACTTTGGGTATGTCTAACCCATAGATAACTCTTGTATCTGAATTACTTAGAGGCAGAGACAGATAACAAGGAAGTACTCTGCCCTGGGAAGGGTTTTACTGATCTGCTCTTGGGACTTTATCCCTCTTCAAATTGTCCCTGATGTCTGGATGAAGAAGAGGAGGGTGTGAGAGGAGGTGGTAGGTCTGACGTGAGAGCAGTAGGACAGCACAGTGTGACTTAGGGTTAGGTCTGGGGCAGATGTTGGAACAGAACCTCTTTGCTTTCCAGCTCTGGTGACAGTCCCCAGCATGGGCTATGCTCTAGTGAGGGAGCCACTGGTGCCCCCTCAGCCTGTGGCTGTGAGGAAACAGGTAAGCACAAGGCAGTTTTCCTCAGATCCATGTTCCCTGTGTCAAAGGGAGAAATCTAGGGAATCCAGCACCCAACAAGTTCACATGCTAAATGTGAAACTCAAGCACTCAGGTACCACAGCAGTGGGTCTGTGACATCTGTTTCTGGCCTTTTCCCAAGGAGGATGGCTCTGTTATCATGGAGAATGGGTTGATTGCTGTCTGCCTGGACACGATGGGGCGCCTGACCTCGCTCCGGCTGCTGGACTCAGGGAGGTCTGTGCCACCCACTTACTGGCCCATGAGGCTCGTCAAACCTCTCCCAGGACTTTTCACTCTACACCCTTCTCCACTGCCAGTCCTTCTGACCTGCTGTTCCTCTGTTCCACTTTCTTCCAGAGAGTCAGTCCCAGATGGCTGCTATGCCAATCAGTTTGCACTTTTTGATGATGTTCCTCTCTACTGGGATGCTTGGGATGTGATGGATTATCACTTGGAAACCAGGTAGAGGAGCAGTGCATGAAGCACTTGGATTTTGGTTTTGGTCTGAGGTTCTTGCCTCCCTGTCAGTCCTTAGCTGTAGCAGAGCATTCACTCTGGAGAAGTGAGTGCCTGCTGTGTGGGAGTCTGGATTGGGATTTGAGAACCTGGATCAACCAGGCTGGGACTATCTGTGCCTTCCTTCCTGTCTCTAGGAAGCCTGTGACAACACTGCTGAAGCCTCTGGAAATCACCCTGGCTGGGGGCCTGAGGGGAAGTGTGAGGTTCTCCCTGCAGGTTGGGAAAAGCAGCACCTTAACCCAGGAGATCATCCTGGATGCCACGTGCCCATACCTCCGTTTCCTGACCCAGGTTAGGCTCGTGGCTGCTGCATGATACCAACACCCTGGGCAGCAGGGAACTGGGGAGCTGAACCTTGCATGTGAATTACATCCCCCCCCCCGTTTTCTTCCCTGGAGCTCTTCTCTGCCTTAAGGAAAGGGAGCCTGAGGGACAGGGGTGGAAGAGAGACCCACCAGTTCACCTTTCACCTGTGTGGAGACTCTGATGTGGTTTTATTGCAGCTGTTGGTGTGGCCTGGGACTGACTGGGGAAGAAGTGCAGCCTCTGCCTGTCAGCTCCCCCATCACGATGTCCATCTGTTCCCACATCTAGGTTGAGTGGAAGGAGTCTCACAAGTTCCTGAAGGTGGAGTTCCCCGTCCAGGTGAGGAGCACAAATGTCACCTATGAGATCCAGTTTGGACACCTGCAGCGACCAACGCACTGGAACACATCCTGGGACTGGGCTCGGTTCGAGGTGAGAGGGAGGGTGGTCTGGTCCCAGGGCTCAGCTGCTCCTGGCAGTGTGGTGAACTCATTCCTTGGTACCTGCTGCAGGTGTGGACTCACAAGTGGATGGATCTCTCTGAGCATGGCTTTGGGGTGGCACTGCTGAACGACTGCAAATATGGAGCATCAGCCCACGAGAACATCCTCAGCCTCTCCCTGTGAGTTAGGGCTGGATGAGGGGGGAGCTGCTGCAGGCACTTGGCCTTCTGAGGTGTCTCTTGGAAGTCAAGGCAACACCTGGTCCTAAACAACCTTAGTTAATAAGGAAATTGTCTGGTAAGTGGGTGTTGTCTGAGAATTTGGCTGACTTAGTTACAATTGACCAAGATAATGTAATTTCTGTGAGTTATGCTTATAGATAATTGAGAGATCAGATCCCCTTTTGTACCAGGTAGTTTTTCTGTTGGAGAAAACCTGCTCCAGGAGAGGAGGCTTAAGAAGAGGGAGGGAACAGCAATGTTAATGCTATGGGTGCCTAAAAGGAAACTGCATATTTCAGCTTGACTCCATCAGCCACAATTTTCATAGGAAAACACCTGAGTTTTTTGGCTTGTGGGACTGTCCAGGGTCTGTTTGCTCATGCATGTTTGCTTCCACCTCAGGGCCCTGCCTCAAGGAGTTGTCTTGTCACGGTGCTCCTCTGGTTCTGCTCTGTGACAGTGCTGTAAAACATCACTCACCTACCTCTTGTTGCCTTAGGCTGAGAGCACCCAAGTCCCCTGATGCCACAGCAGATATTGGGCACCACCAGTTCACCTATGCTGTGATGCCTCACCTGGGTGAGTGAGGGGCAGAGCTGGGCCCTTGGAGACACACAGGGTGGGGATGCTCCAGGGAGCCTTGGGGTGAGCTGTGCACATGCAGAGAGGTTGGCTGGAGGTTCTTGTGCTGCAGGTTCCTTCCAGGAGGCTGGTGTGATCCAGCACGCATACAGCTTGAACTTCCCACTCCACACACTCCTGGCCAGCTCTGCCCAGTGCCCAACCTGGAGTGCCTTTTCTGTCAGCTCGCCTGCCGTCGTGCTGGAGACTGTCAAGCAGGCAGGTGCTGGGGCAGAGGTGGGGAGGGCAGAGGGGCTAAGCTGCTGCTGCTGTTGAGCATGGCTTGCTCTGAGTGGTGGTCAGGCTCAGCTGAGCAGAACAGCTTGGGCTGGAGAGGCTGTGCCTCTCTCTTGTCTGAACTGCCCCTTGCACTGTGCCCCAAAGGCTGAGGACAGGCCTCAGGCCCTGGTGGTTCGGCTGTACGAGGCACATGGCAGCACCGTTGTCGCCTGGCTCCAGACCTCTCTCCCTGTGAAGGAGGCTATGCTGTAAGTCCATGCTGGAGGGCTGGGGAGGGTGTGTGGATGGAGACCAGTCCCTTCAGCCTCTCCCACTGTTTTCCTCCCCAGCTGTGACCTCCTGGAGCAGCCTGTTGAGCAGGGCCACCTGCCCCTGGAGCCGCAGGGGCTGCAGTTGTCCTTCACACCCTTCCGTGTGCTCTCCATCCTCCTGGTCTTGAGCCAGTGACACCATCCCTTGCCCCTGCTGTTGCTGCAGCAACCTGGACCAGCACTGTGAGCTCAAATCACAGCCTAAGCCTTCCCCCACCCCAAGAACTGTGCAAGGAGGTGACAGTGAGTGCAGGGAAGGGCAGCATCTCCCCTCACCCCCCACGCAGCCATCAGAGAGCAGTGATTGAGAACAACCGAGTTCCTCAGGAAAGGAGCATAGGTACCTGCTGCCCAACCAGGACGGGAGGGCCTGAGTTAGTCCCAAGCTTGCTGAAGTGTGGATAAGGATTTGGACAGGCTGATGGCCCTGCATGGGCTCTGATCCAGCCTTGGGGGTTTGCGGAGCAGCAGCTTCCACAGTCTCAGCTTTCATCTTGTCTAGCAGTCAGTGTAAAAACACTCCAGTCCTTCCCCTCACCCTCTGGCTGCCCCTTGCACTCCCCTTGCAGAAAAAAAAACCAAAAATAAACATGAGCATTACATAAAAACAAGCCCCGGCCTGCACTGACCTGCCTCCTCCCAGGGGCTCTGTTACAGCTGCTGCTCTCTTAAGTGTCCTCCTCAGCAGGATCTCACTCCTGGGACTGAGGAGGCAGAGCTTACCTTTATTTGGGGAGGGTGAGGTAGAGGGGAAGCCTTCTCCAGCCCCTATGTGGAAGAGGCTAGGCACAGGGGGGTTATCCTTAACACAAAGAGGCATGCACAGCAATTTCTACACAAAATACTTTATTAGTGAGCTAAAAACAATGATCAGAGCAGCAGCCAGAAAGAGTAGAGGGAAAGAATGAGGGAACTCACATTTAGGCAGACGGAAGAGCCAGAGCCCAGCACAGTGTATGGTCCATGGCCCTTTTTCCCCTCAAATGCCTGGGGACAGCAGGAAAATGCCCCATCACCAAGCACAGCTTCTCCCTCCCTGCCATGCTGGCAGGATACACCAGTAGCAAGCAGCTGTGAGCACAGGTACAGAGCAGCCTCCTTTCCCCCAGCACTAACCCAGGCCCGTGGCCAGGCCCTCCCTGAGATCCCCCTGGGTGGAGGTGGACAGCAGGCACCACTCACACGGCAGGAGCTGCACCTGGAAGAAAGAAATGAGAAATCAGAGGGTGAGGGGGTGTCTGGCTCTGCCCCACTGGCTCTTCTCCTGCCTTTTGGCACCTCTCAGTCTCCCAGACATGAGGCAGCAGTCCCACAGCCCCTGAACCAGCAGGGTCTCCAGCCTCACCTCTGCCCCTGCGCGTGGACGTCCGGCGGCTCCTTTTGGTACTGAGTGCCTCGGGTTCAGGCAAGGCTGGAGCAGCAGCTGCTTTCCTCCTCTGGCGTGCTCGGCCCTTCCTTGGCCCACCAGCCTCCTCTTCCTCCCCCTCCTCCTCTTCCTCCTTCTTATCTGACTTCAGGGCCTTTACTGTGGCCCTGGGGCGCCGTTTTGAGGTGCGTGTGGAGACCTGGGTGGACATCAGACGTGGAGCTTAAGTGGCAGAAGTGCACTTAGACTGTGATGAGAAACTCCAGATAGAATCACTACTGTGAATTTGGGAGCAGCCCAAGCAAGGCACAAGGAACAGGACAGCCACACAAGGTTGCTCGGGGTCAGCAAAAAGGTGCTTACCTTGGTGGTCAGTGCCTCGGGGTCTGCCTTGGGCTGAGTGCTCTTCTTGCGAAGTGCCTTGCGGGGTCTCTGCCCTGTGTGAGAGGACATGCCCAGGTTAGGTGGGTGAGGAGGGGATGGGGCAGAGTCTGCACACTTAGGGACAGCACAGTGACCTTGCAGAGATGGTCTCCTGGGTGATATGAGCTGAGCACTGAGGAAATGCAAGATGGAAAACCATCCTACTGGTGCAACAGCTGTGTCCAGGTAGGTTGGGATGCTGCTAGGAAGCCCTGCAGACAATGGGCTCTGTCCCCCAGTGACAACAGCTGTCACAGGCCTGTCAGCACTCCAGAGAGAGGCTTTGCTCCTGCCTGTGCCCCTGTGCTGCAGGGCAAGGACAGGGCTTCACAGTCTCCAGCCCTCCCAGAGCAAGAGTGGGTCCCATGGGGAGAGACAACACTCACCTTTGGGAGCCATGGGGCCAGGCTCTCCCTGCAAGGAAGGGACAGAGCATTGACTGGGGTGCAGCATTCTGCAGGCAGCAGCAGCAGAATCCCTGCCCGTTCTCCATCCCGCGGCCACGGCAGTGATAGGGAAACAGCTTAATGTTTCCCTGGGAATCCAGGGGAGTTAGGCTTGCTCTGCCTGCCCTGTGCCTTGGGGACTCTCATGTCAGCCCAGACATGGGACACAGGAGGGAGGAACAGAGCTGCCAGACCACCTGATACTTCCATTCCCACCATCAGCCCCTCTACTCCCGACTGCCCACCATCCTTCAGCTGGCTGACCACCACACAGAGGGTCCCTGTCGCCTCCCTGCCCAGTGGTCTGGTGATGTGAGACCCCCCCAGCCACGCAGCGTGGCGCTTAGGAGACTTGGCAAGCATCAACTGGGCTGGTGAGCCCTCGGAGGAGTGGCCAGGGGGCCCTCAGCCCCAGGCAGTGACCACAGGCTCCTACCTGGAACCATATGGTGCGGCCGCTGTGGTCGCGCAGGGAGCTCATGCCAGGCACCAGGTAACACTGCAGCCAGTTTTTGAAGGCAGTGTAGTTATCTGCATGCTCAGGATCAAAGAGCTGCTTCTCTGCAAAGGGAGAGAGGGAAAGGGCAGAATTAGAGCAGAAGCAGTGATCATGGTGTCGGGGTGCCCTCCCCAACCTCCTGCTGCTGGAAATGTGAGGCCGTGGCTTCCCCTCCTCCCCGAGCTGTCCCTCTGCCCTGTCCTGGCACCTCACCTGCTGTGATGACCTCCATGGGCACAGCGTGGCACAGCTCCAGGAGATCTGGGTTCTCCTGCATCAGCTTCACCTTCTTACTCAGCGTCAGGGAAGGATTCTGAAGGAGCAGAGAAGAGGAAGGACGTCACCTGCCAGGGCCCACTGCCTCCTTAGGGTCTCTCCTCCCCAGCAGCAGCCAAATTCCCCATCTCTTGCTCTCCTGACAATTGAGCTGCCACACTCTGCACACATCTTGGCCCTGAGCTCACCCCACTGCAGGCTTCCAACTTAGCCCTCTATCATGTCTTTGTAGCTAACACAGACAAACACGAACAGTTTCTAAAAACCACTCCTCAGCTTGAGTAGTTTGTTTTCAGGCTTCTTTAAAATAGCCACTTCCTCTCCCCCGAGGCCAGAAGATCAACTTTGGGTTCTACTGCAGCCTCCCTCAAAGATTTTAAGCTTGTAAGTTATTTGTTTCCCTCGTTTCTTCATCTTCACCCACCCCAAAAATACTTGTAGATTTCCTGAGGGTAGAAGCCAAACACAGCTCATCCTGCAGGGTCACAGTCAAACAAATCCCTGGTATGGCATCTGTTTGGAAACTGCCACTTTCTGAGCCTGCAAAAGCACTTGGTATTTCCCACCTTCCTCTGCTCCTGCTCCTTCAGGGCTTCCAGCACAGTCCGAGCCTTTTCAAAGGGAGGGGTCTTCGACCTGAGAGAGTCACACAGAATCCTGAACCCTCCGTTCTGGCACTCCCCGTGTCTGCCAGGTGAGGAGGCACTGCTGGCTCCAAGCTCCTGGAGATGAACCCTCCGTGACAGGTCAGCAGCTGCTGAAACCACCTTACCTGTACAGGATCTCAGCCCGCAGGTAATTCCCAATTCCATTGAAATACTTCTGGTTTAAGAGGGCCTCGCAGATGGGCTTGTCAAAAGCCTTGTCATCCAGATTCTTCAGCACGTTCTCCCTACAACGGAGCATGGGGCATTGTAGGAACAGGAAACCAGGGCAGGAACAACAGACAAAACCGAGCAGGAGGCATTGCCCGGGATGCTCACCTGAAGGCCTGGTACTCGGAGATGACACAGGGCCCCCGTTCTGGCTGCCAAGCGTCGCCCAAGCGCCACGACCCGAAGCGGCGGACGTCGATGAAGCAGAGAGCACGCGGGGGGGTCTCGCGGGTGAGGAAGCGCAGGTG